CTGTCAGTCACGGGCGTTACGCAATGGGGTTGCGACAAATTTGGGATGCGAATAAAGTTGCACCTTCTGTGCACGCCAAGGGTCTTGAAGTTGCCCCCTGGGGCCCAAAAAGGGGCAGGTAAGATTCCCCACCATAAATCGCCCCCATATTATCTGAGGCAAACTAGGGGGGGAGTGAGAAGGAGAAGGCCTTCTCAGAAGGCGGTGGGGCTTCGCAGAAGCCCTCCAGCCTTCTGAGAAGTTCTCTGCGCCTCTGGGGAAGGCTCGGGAAACTTCTCGGAAGGCCGGGCTTCCTTCGAGCCTTCAGATGGCCCTCCCCTTCTCGCTTCCTCCGCATGTATTCAAGTGTCTTATGCCACGCCGCCGACCCCCACAAGGAGTGAGTGTTCGAGACGGTCGTGTAAGTTTTTCTTGGGCCAGGAGCCTCCTGGATGAACCTGAGGGGTTCTTGGGATGCGTCTCTGGGGGGCCTCTTGCAGAACTCCTGGGGGCCCGTGGGAGGTTTTGGGGCCTCGTGGGGGCCTTTAGAGGGCTACCTCCCCATTTCCAGACCCCCGACTTCATGAGTTTTTCATGACGTGACCCCGAGAGGTCCAGACCCTTACCCCGGGACCGGTTTTTCATCCTGAGTCGTTTTTTTGACGGTCCCGAGGGCCGGTAAGGGCCCCCAGAGGCCGATCATAGCGATCAACCTCCCGTCGTGATTTGTTCGTGACTCGAGGGGGTCTGGGTTTATCGCTACCCCCCCAATACATGGACTCTAGGCCTCGTAGATGGGGTCGGAGTATATGGGGTCGGGGGATCGCGCCGCATCGCCGATGCATCGGCGATGCGGCTCGATGTGGAGCTCGATGTGCTTCACGCGGACGTCGCCGATGCATCGTCGATGTATCGGCGATGCGGCGCGTTCCTCCGACCCCATCTACGTACTCCGACCCCATCCAGGAGGCCTCTTAAGAACTGCAGCAGGCCTTTCGAGTTCGAGGTCCAGCCGAGGTTCCATGCAGCCTAGATCTGTATGTGGGTCTGGAGTATGATGTTCTAACCTACTTTAGCCTTGACCGCCAGAAATAATTTCGAGCATCAAGGAAGTAGCGAAATCGGAGGGTTTTCACGTGTCGGGCTCTGGGAGGCGATACTCGTTCGACACTGGTTCGATAGTGTTCTGGGTGCTCGAAATTATTTCTGGGATGTGGTCCGTAAGTACGGTGGGAACAACATAAGTCTGGAGGTCTATGTATGTCTTAGCCCTCTGGAAGGTCAGGGCAGGCGAGGTGGCGCCCAGAAGGGGACAGGAGGGAGGCCTTCTGAGAAGCCACCCGCGCCATTTTGGAAGGCCCTCCCAATGCCACTCCCAGTTCGATGTTTTCCTCCCTATGCCAGTCCCTATTCTCAAATTGTAAATGGGTAAGATCCAGTGGTTACTTGGGTGAGCTCCTGGGATACGTGGCAGCTCTAAGTGGACCATATTTGGTAAGTGGTAAGCAGAACTGGCGATGAGGGATGCACCTCACGTTGGGTTCAGGTGCTTAACTGCTCGCTCATCAGATACCATAAAGGGTGTTGGTTCGTTTCAACAGCGGGACGGTGGTCATGGAAGTTGCCCCCCTGGCGCCGACCCGCCCCCCTCGTGCGCGCCCCCGAGAGGGAACGCGCACAGTCGACGCGCCTAGTATTGAGTCGGGCCTGTCCGTCTAGAGGAGGACTATTCAAAAATAGTCAAACCATAGTCTGGGCAGGATTTTTTCTGCCATGTTTGAATATTTGTTTTGATCTATGTGCAAGTATTCTTTAATTTTTCGCTCAAAATACGCCTGTAGGGGGGCACGCCCGACCTAAACCTAGTAAGGACGCGCGCCTTCAGTTAGGGTGCCCTTGTGTCTGCGCCTCTGCGGCCCGTCCTGTGCCGTTTTATTGGTCGTCCGCCGCACAAGCAAGCCCCAACTTCGGCCTCCAAGGGGCTTGCGTCCTTACCACCCGTCCTTCATGGACGAAGAGAAATCCAATACAGCGTTTTCTGGAACGCTCTCAGAGCGTTCCGGAACGTTCTGAGATGGCCGCGGTGTTTGAGACATCCTGCAGAGCCGCCAGATTTCAGAGACTCTAGATTCTCGATTTATCCTTGTCCGATGTCATCCTCGTCCTGGTTTCGTCTCGCAGGACGGTGAGGGGGCGCGGAGGAGGAGGGCGGGGATGAGGGCGACGAGGAGCGAGGCGTGCCCAGACGTACTCGCGCCCTGAAAAGTCAGGGCGAGAGGTTCTGGTTGTTTTTGGCCTATGGGGGCCCTACCGGGCCCGGGGCCGTCAAAAAACGGCCCAGGATGAAAAACCATACCTGGGGAAAGGGTCGGGAGTTTGGAATCACCGTGCTGAAATCAGGACATCCCATGTCTTGGAAGGGAGGAGGCAGACTAAGATTGAGTCGGCCTGTCCCTCTACAGGAAAACAAATCCCAAAATCGTCAAAGAATGGTCTGGGGACGATGTCTCCACTATTCCCGAGTATGTTTGGAGTCTGTTTTCTGTTCCTCCAGAATCCGCCTGTAGGGAGACACGCCCGACCTAAGACGAGGCGTAGGCCGACCTGGAAGACGAGCGCCCCACGTGCCCGCCGTCGGGGCGGCGGCTCCCGGCTGCAAGACGTCGTGCTCCTTCCTTCGAGCTTGGAGCACTCGGGCAAGGCGAGATCATCGGCCACGCGCAGCGGGGGGATGGGGGGAGGGGGAGGGCTTATCATAGAAGCACCCTCCTCCTCCTCCTCCTCCTCCTCCTCCTCCTCCTCCTCCTCCCCCTCCTTCTCCTCCTCCTCCTCCTCCTTCTCCTCCTCCTCCTCCTTCTAAGAAGCGCACAGGGCTTCTTAGAAGGCGCGGGCCTTATCTATAGATGTAGGGCCGGCGCCTTCCCAGAAGCAGCCTCCTTCTAAGAAGCGCGTTCCTCCCGCCCTCCGCTCCCCTGTGCGCACCGCCAAGACGAGAGAGCCCAAGGACGTGCCCGGCGGCAGCCGCGCCCTGAAGAGGGACCGCCCTCCTTCCGCGCAGCCGGTGCACAATCTTGGCTTGCAGAGTATACGGAAGAATTTGGGGGAGTGTTCTGAGAGGAGGAGGAGGAGGAGGAGGAGGAGGAGGAGGAGGAGGAGGAGGAGGAGGAGGAGGAGGAGGAGGAGGGGGAGTAGGAGGAGGAGGAGGCGGAGGGGCGGGAGGATCAGGAGGAGGAGGAGGAGGAGGAGGAGGAGGAGGAGGAGGAGGAGGAGGAGGGGGAGTGTTCCGAGCAGGAGCCCGCCCTCCACCAGAACCGCTGCAGAGCTTCGTGCCCGCGGCCATGGCTGCCTTGGCCATATCTCGGGCGAGGGCCCCCCAGTCTGAGCAGGAGCCGCCTCCGTGCGCGGACCGAACAGGGCGAGAGCGCGAAGTGCATTTCAAAACCTCCCTGGGGAACCACGGATTTTCGCCTCGTGAGGCCCTCTCGGGTGTCCTCGCTATCTTGAAGCCTGGCGTTGAGGGTTTGCATGTGTTCCTGAAGGGTGTCGCGCGGATGGCGCGAGTAGCGGCGTAAGTGCCGAAGCGGTTACAGTGGAGTCGCTGAAGAAGATTTTCGAGTGAGGCCCTCTATCGGCGTGCAGGTCTCTCCCCGGGAGGCCATCTTGGCTTCCCTGGAGGCTTCTCCGGCGTGCTGGGGACTTTCCGCAGCCCCCGCGGAAGGCATCTTGAGCAGCCCCCCGGCCACGAAGGGTAGATTTGGAGGCTTCTCCAGCGTGGTGGTGCCCTTTTGCAGCCCTCTCGGAAGGCATCTTGAGCAGCCCCCCGGCCTCGAAGGGTGGATATTGGAGGCTCTGGCGAGCTCCAGGGATGGGCCGGCGAGCTCCTGCGCCCACCATCCCCGCTGCACGGCACACACGTTTTCTTTCCCCTCTCCCCGTCTGGCTTCGCCAGTCCGCCGCCATGCTTTCTCCCTCCACTCTTTGCCCCTCCGCTCCTGGTGCAACATGGGATCTTCACATTGCCAGTTACAACTGTAACTCCTGGCCGACAGCCCAGAGCTATATGGAGTGGGAGCGTGATGTGCATCAGACCACGTTTGACGCTTTGTTTTTTTCAGGAACACAGGTTGGAAGCGAAGCAGATTCGGACGGCTCGAAGCTGGTATTACAAGGCGGGTTACGCCTCGTGGTTTGCGTCGGCGGCAAGAACAGGACAAGGGGCTCGAGAGACCTCTGGAGGCACGGCAGTACTCAGCAAGTCTCACTTTGGCAGTTGCGAATGTTCCTAGGAGCGGTGGACAGAGATGCTCTGCATGATCAAGGCCATGGTTCACCAGGCCTTTCCAAAATTTGTTTGTATCCATTTACGGCCGCACCACGCTAGGTTTGGCTGGAGCCAATCTAACCTTCCTGGGGGATCTCAGCGAGGCAGTGGCCGCAGGCGGCTGCCCGTTTGTGATTGGCGGCGATTGGAACATCGACGCTGAGCACTTGATAGAGTCTCAGTGGGCTGACCACCTTGGGGCCAGTGTGATTCGCCCGCCAGGCTCGACGTGTCACAATAGCTGCTATGATTTGTTCGCGGTGGGTCGATGCCTGGACCACCACATCCAGGACTGCCTGGAAATGCCAGACACGCCTGCGGGGCCGCACTCAGCGGTCACCTTGAAGCTACGCCAAGTGGCTGGTCAGGCCAAGGTGTGGCAGCGCGTGGTGCCAAGGAGCTTCCCCCTTCCACGGAACGAGGAGGAGAAGGTCCGCTTCCGCGGGACGCCAGAGCAGTCTGAGACCCCCTTCGAATGGGATTCACTCGCTCCCCAGGCTGCCATGGAACAGTGGTTCGCACAGGCTGGAGGGGCCCCTGGGCGTTTGCCCTGCTTATCGGACCGCCAGTTTTTTGGGAGAGCCAAAGGACGCAAGGTCCAACTCGTCCCGCTAGAGGCCTCATGGGGCAGGAGTTGCATAGGTGCTCCCAACCTGAGACCCAACACTGGCTGTCTCGCCGTCGCCTCGCCTTGGAGTTTATGAAAGCCCGTGACGAGGGCCAGAGGGCCCGCCTTTTGGGGCTCGCCAAGTCCTCGAACGACCTCCTGAAGGAGGTGGGAAACCCAATCCTGGCGCCATGCTCGATCGAGCAACTTGTTCAAGGGCTGGATGGGCCCATGCGAGCTGACGTCGCAGGTGCGATCCAGCGAGAGGCGGGCCGCAGAGTGCAGCGCGAGACGGCGGAAGGCCGAAAGAGTTGGTGGTCGTTGGCTCAGTCGTCGGTCGGCCGGGGTGGTCGGGCGTTGCACAGGCATTCGAAGGGCCCCGCTCCTCCTCCGATGCCTGTGCTGCCTGAATGTGATGAGGGCCCGGGGGGCTCAGGTGACCTCAGGCCGCTAGTAGGGCAAGCGGCCCTGGACCGCATTCTACAGGGCCGGATTCCAAACTGGGCAAAGCCTGCTCGCGACTCAGAGAGTTTGCCGAGCAGCCGGGCCGCCCCATTCGATCTCGCGCCTATCACGTCCGACCAAGTGTTGGAAGCGGCGGCCTCTTTCAGCCCCTCGACAGCCCTGGGCTGGGATGCTTTCAGTCCGCGCCTGCTTCTGCAGCATCCCTGTCAATTGGTGGAAGTCATTGCAAGGATTGTGTCGGCTTGGGAGCGGGATCGCGCGATCGGACCGATGTGGGCGCGTTGTGTTTTAACCGGGCCCGCGGGAGGGGCGAGACCCATTGGGCCCATCCCTCTACGGGCTCGAATTTGGAGCCGTATCCGTCACCGCCTGCGCGCGGCTTGGGAACGGACTGTAGATGAGACGTTTTTCTGGGGGCCCAGCTCCAGCGCGGCGTGCGACAAGAGTGCGCGGGCCCACAATGCCCTGAGTGCGCGCGCCAGGTCGACAGCGGGGCTGGAAGCAGCAACCCTGTTCAATGACCTGCGCAAGTACTGCGCATTTCGCGCGAAGAGCTGCTGGCGGCGGCCCAGGCGTGTTCTTTTCCATTGGCACTGTTGAGAGCACACTGCTGCCTGTACAGAGGGGCGCGGCGAGCGTCGTGGCAAGGGGCAATCAGTCGCGAAATTCAGCCCAATGGCACGATCATTGCTGGCTGTTCCGGGGCGACCACCTTTGCGCGTCTGCTACTGCTCGGAGCTCTGCGCAAGGCAGCCGTAGGTAGCCCCGCAGCTTGTGCCAATAATGTGATCGATGACATCTCGCTCCATGCGGTTGGCGGGAGGCAGGTCATCATTCGTGAGATTGCTGTTGCCTTTTATGCCCCTAAGTTCGGACCTGCAGCGGATGGGACTACCGATCGCAGTCAACAAGCTAGGCCTGATCGCCTCCTCTGCCGAGCTAGCGGATCCGGTCGCCCGTAGATGCAACTTGCCAGTGTCTGTGCGTGCGCAAGTCCACAGGGACTTAGGTGGCGACGCGACTGACGGCGCCAGGAGGCGCGTCAGCACGCAGCACGAGAGGTTTTGCGAAGCCCAGCAAAAAGTTGCAAAAATCCTCTCGCTGAGGGAAGCAGGGGCTCAGTGTGGCGCAGTCTTTAGGGCGGGGGTCACCTCCGAGGCCCTGTGGGAGGCCAACATGCAGGGGCTCCTCAATTGCAAGCCCAAGAGGATCTGAGTGGCGGCGCTTAGGGCGGAAGGGAGGCCCCCGAAATGATGCCCCCTCGAGTTGGCCTCCTCGCGCGTTCGCGGCGGCTGGTTTCGAGACCCATAGCCACCAACGCGGCCGACGCCCTCCGCGCAGATAGCCAGATCCTCGCGGACCCGCGCCTAACGCCTGTGGCGTTGCAGGCTCTTTTTGCGCGCGGTCAGGAGCTGCTCCATTTGCCTCGGCCATGGGCCAGAGTTGGGGGCCTCATCCTGACTCGTCAGCGGGTCGGGCTTAGTTTTGTTGACCCGTGGGCCCTGCGCGAGGACAAGGGAGAAGTGCGGGCCTGCCGCCAGGTTGCGCCAGCTTTGGTTGCGAGGAGAACGCAATTTGCGGCTGGGGGGTTTTCTGACAGGGCAGGCCTTGCGAATATTGACCAAGGCATGGGCTGGGTAGGAGTTTTTTTGGCGTCCGCTGAATGAGCTGCTGCATCGCAGGTGGAAGACCTCGCCTGATGGGGGCGGCGCGGGCACGGACTGGCGGCGGTGGATTCGGGAGCCGCGAGTGCTCCGAGGCCTGGTCATTGGATCGCATTGGTGTCAAGCCAGGCTGCACAAGCATGACCCCCAGTTGCCAGCGAACTGCCTCATCTGTGGCGAAGCCCAGGGGAGTCTATTTCATCGCCACTTCCAGTGCCCAGCCCGTCAAGGCTGGAGGCGAGATGTCCTTCCCCCAGACCTTGGGGCGGCTGTCAGGCGGCTGCGCGTCGCGCCCGCCAATTTGCAAGAGCGTTTTGCTATGGGGAATATTACCTGACCCGTGCCAGGTTTTTTCTTACCCAAGCGGGGCCCAGAGTGGGCATTCAAGGTTGAAAGGCAGGCGCCGCCTCTCGCCTTAGATGACGGCCATTTGTTTGCTTGTTTTGTTTTCTTGCCGGCTCTGGGGTCGATGGGCTCGTTCCGTCGTTTCGAGTCGCTGGATGGGGGGTGGCGGTCTATGATCACGAGCGCCGCCCATTGGCGGGGCGGTTTGGCGCGGCCCCCCCGTCGGCCGGCCCCGGCCAGTTGGCTCGTGACGGAGAGGGCTATGCGATCCTCATGGCGCTTAGCACATGATAGGCAAGTACACGATATTTTATGATTGTGCAGGCGCAATCACGCGCTGCCTGAACGAGCGCCATGCCCAGGGGCCTCTCAACAGTAGGGCGCACCGTTGGGAGGAGGCCTTGAAGGAGGGAAAGCCAGGGCTTGTCAGCTTTCGCAAAGTTGCGGCCCATAGCTCCATGGCGGATGCGCGGGAAGGGCGCGTCAGCCACTTGGAGAGGGAGGGCAGCGATCAAGCTAAGCAGATAGATTGGCCAACGCAGGTGTAGAATTGTGCAGATGCCCGAGTGATATTGTTGCGATGGCCAAGGGCATGCTTCACGCGTCGCGTCTGCTGCTCCAATATACTAGAAGGGCCGAGACTCGCGATGCCAGCGAGGGCAGGTCGGACAATGTTGGGGCCCAAGGGCTCACGATGATCTCCCTGGAAGGGGCATCAGATTTTGAGGAGGCGATGGAGGCGGCGAGGAAGTGGGGCGAGGAGGGAGGGCCTGCGGCTGCCCCTGCCCCTCCTCCCCGTGCCCCGCCCCCGCCCGGGCGTCCTCCTCTCGAGCCCTTGGGTCCCGAGTTGCAGGCGCAGGCGCTGGATGGGCAGCAAACGCCTTCTTCTTTTTTTTGTTGGGGGGGGGCATGTCCTCCTGGAGTTTGAGGTGGCTGCTGAAGACCAGCCCCCAATCCTTTGTTGTTCCACGTGCGGGGCCTGCGCTACGGTTTCCGCGGGATCTCTGGGTCTCCGCAGAGAGCGTGAGGGCTCATAGCATGCCTTGGTGGACCCTTGTAAGAAGAACTCCAGGGCTGTCTTGAAAGGGAAGCGCCCCAACAGACCTCTAATCCTGGGCCCTTGGAGGACCCCTAGGGCGTGGGCCCGTGAGTTTGCAGGGGGTACTGGGGGGCCCAAGACGGCCCAGCATAGAAGCAACAGGGTGTTCAGACCCGACCCTGCAATGCAAGTTTGTGCTTTGCAGACGTCCAGCAGGCCTTTGGGCTAAATGACTCCGAAGCGGCCGCGCTGGGACCGAAGCTGCACGAGAGGACTCCAGACAATGAGCTGGGGGATGAGAATTGAAACGGTCTAATGCCCAGGGGGGGGCCCTGTCGCTGGCCCCATGGCAGGTCTTCGGCTGTCCTGCCAGGGTGACATAAAGTTTCGCGTGGATGGGCCCCCTCTGGATGTTTTTAGGACCGTCGGGCTTCCTTTCCCCTCCCCCTTGCCCTTCAGTGGCGTGCGATCCCCCTCACCCTCTCCGGCGCCTCGGTGTTCTGCCTGGGCCCAGGGACATCCAATCATCCCGCGCGCCTTCTCACTCCCAGCCAGCGGGTGCCGGCAGATTTGGCTTCCTCCTCATGTCCTTTGTCGGGCAGTGCCAGGGGGGGCACCATTAGGCACTAGGGGGTCACTGGTTCCTCCTGGAGATCGGGGTTCCAGAGTCGAATCTCGAGGAGGTTCTTGGACGCCTGGGGTCGTTTTGGAAAAGGCTCTGGCGGCTTCTTTGGGGCCGAATTTTCTTCGAGGAGGCGGCGCTTCGTCGTGGAGGTCGCGACCCCGCCGCGTGCCCTCCAGAAGAAATTGTACTTTTCTCTGGTGCGCGCGAGGCGCGTACTTCCGTGCACGCGTTGATGACGTGTTCTGCTTGGGACGCACGGGACAATATTTAATATTTGTTCTGTGCATCAGCTTCACTGCTCATAGAGAGCTTCGGCCCCAACCCGCGGCACCTACAGGGTGCGCAAGGCGGGTCGCAGTCGCAGTCCCGCCCTCTTCGTGCCCTCCTCGTGCCTTCCCCCTTCTCCTCCTCCTCCTCCTCCTCCTTTTCCTCCTCGTGCCCTCCTCCTCCTCCTCCTCCTCCTCCTCCTCCTCCTCCTCCTCCTCTCCTCATCCTCGTCCTCCTCCTCCTCCTCCTCCTCCTCCTCCTTCCTCATCTCCTCCTCCTCCTCCTCCTCCTCCTCCTCCTCCTCCTCCTCCTCCTCCTCCTCCTCTTCCTTCCCCCACCAGGTCGACGGTTGGGCAGTATCGGGCGCGAGATTATCAGGTTGGGTGTCCCAAGAACAAAGGTCCCAGGGCAGGGTGAGGGTGTCGGACGATGTCGATGGCAGGGTGGTGTTGGGCGCGAAATTGTCGGGTGGGTCGTCCTCAGAACAAAGGGCAGGATGGGGGTGTCAAGCCAGGGCGACGGCGGGCCGGTGTCGGGTGCGAAATTCACGGGCGGGGGGTCCCAAGAACAATTCTCCTAGGGCAGGGTGGGGGGTGTCGGACGAGGTCGACGGCGGGGGGCGGTGTCGGGCGCGAAATTGCTTGGTGGGGGGGTCCCAAGCACAGGGTCCCAGGGCAGGGGGTGTCGGGTGTCGGACGAGGTCGCCGGCGGAGGGCGGTTTCGGTGGGGGGTGTCGGACGAGGTCGACGGCGGGGGGCGGTGTCGGGCGCGAAATTGCTTGGTGGGGGGGTCCCAAGCACAGGGTCCCAGGGCAGGGGGTGGGTGTCGGACGAGGTCGCCGGCGGAGCGGTTTCGGGCCTGTCCCTCTACAGGGGGAGTGTTGAAAAAAACGTAGTCAGATGTAGTCTGGGGACGATGTTTTGAGTATTTTTGTTATTGTCGAGCATGTCTTTAAGATTTTCATTCTTCGTCGACAATCTGCTTGTAGTGGGACATGCCCGATCTAATGTCAGGTTGGTGGTCCCAAGATATAGCTCCTGGGCGGTGGGGGTGCCCGGGCGTGTTGGGCGGCGTCGGTCGGTCCCGGGCGAGAAGTCGTCGGGAGGGGGATCTGCAAGAACAGAGCTCCCGGGTTGTGGGGATGCCGGGGCGAGGTGGGGGGCGTCGGTCGGTTCAGGGCGAGAAGTTGTCGGGTGTGGGTTTGCCACGTTCGGCGGGGGGGCGACCTGTATTCTTCCCAGACTCGAGGGGGTCTGGGCCCTTCTCCTCGCCCTCGCCAAACCGATCGCGCAACTCCGTGGCCGTCTCGGCTCAGGCCGGGCTCGCGGCGGCGATTGCTCGCGCGCGGAGGTGGCCCAGCCCCACGCCAGCGTCAGCATCGTTTAACTGATCCCCATCGCTCGAGTATGGGATCGACTGCAGACTTGATTTACCCCCAAATTTGAGTTTTCGTCGAACCTGCGAGAACACCTGGAGGACGTTCGTGGACACACGAGCAGGCTGGGTAAATCAATTCTGTAGTCGATCCCCGATCGCCTACTGGAGTCGCCATCCCCATACCCGTACCCACCATCTCACCACCCCACTTGGGGATATACACCTCGAGGCCCGAAGGGAACAGCCTGCATCCCGATGCAGGGGGTGGTCCACCGGCCAGTGGGGCCCAGGCCACGCCAGCGGGGACAGGCGGCGGCGAGCGAGGGGGGGAAGTGAGAAGGAGGAGGCCTTCTCAGAAGGCGGCGGGGCTTCTCAGAAGCCTTCGGGCCTTTTGAGAATTTGTCTGTGCCTCTGGGGAAGACTTCGGAAATTTCTCAGACGGCCGGGGGACTTCTGAGCCTTCTGAGAAGGCCCGCCACCTCTCACTTCCCCCCAGGGTGGCCGCCGAAAGCAGCTCAGCGGCTCCAGTGTGTTTCGGGTTGTGCCGACTCGTTAGAACTGCACAGAGGCGGGAGCCAACGGGCCAGAATGGTTACCAGGCAGATCACCAATTCGGTACGATGCGAACTTGTAAGCTTTTTGTTTGTATCGAGCCCCCGTGGCTATTGTGCAATACGAACCCTGTGGTGGCTTGTTGTTCGAGGGTAATAATTCGGCTCTCCGGCGGCCGTTCGGGAAGATCCGGGCGCCCCCCGAACGCTTTCGGCGAGGCGCAGCTGCTGGAAAGCACCCCGAGTCTGGAAACCCGCCGAGATCCACCGAAAGCGTCAGAAAACCTACGATACTCGAACCTCAATTCCGCCCTCTCCTCCTGCATCCTCGCCCTCACTTCCCCTGGAGGGTTTCTCCGAAGGGCTTAGGCGACCCGTCCTCCTCCTCCTCCTCCTCCTCCTCCTCCTCCTCCTCCTCCTCCTCGGGTCGCCTACGGCCCGGGGGGAAACCGTGCAGCTTCCCCCCCTGGACGCACCGCCGAGACAGGGATCGGTGGAGCGAGGCTCCCCGCGGGGGCCCTCGTGGTGCCACGGCATGCCCCGGAGGCCGCCCAGGCTCGAGGCCGAGGACGTGCGCGCCACCGCGGAGCTGGCGCGCACCACGTCCGAGTTCCTCGGCGGGGCGCGGTCCGTCGGGACGGTGCTGGACCTCTGGGGGCGTGCAGAGGTGCAGCGAAGGCGCCGAGGTAAGGAACGCTCGGCTCTGCCTCGATGCCGTGCCGTGCTCCACGAAGACGTGCGTGCCAAGGCGCTGCGTGGTGGCTCAGCGTACTGGCCCACGTTTTGCCGAACGTATCGCGGCAGGCCTGGGGGTTCAAGGTACGTTTAGGTCGGGCGTGTCCCCGTAGAGGTCGATGTTGGAGGAAAACTAAAAGCATAGTCAGACAGATCTAAAACATAGCAAGAAAGTGCTAAACAAATCATCCCCAGACTATTTTCCCTATGTTTGGGTATTCCTCCTGTAGAGGGACAGGCCCGACTTAAAGCTACCTGCTGAGCTCCGTGTCAGCACGCTACGGGTGGCGTGTTGCGTATCGGGACAGCTAAGGCACAGGCGAGACGCTGACATAAAGAACGAATCGGGTTCGGAAACGGCCTCGTTGTTCCTTTGGCGTTCCTCGCGCATCCAGGCGGTCTCAAGGCCCCAGAAGGGGGCTTCGTTCCCTCGTTCGCGCCCCTGCTGGCAGTAGGTTTAAGTCGGCCCTGTCTCTCTTCAGGAGGAATCTTCAAACATTGGAAAAACATGTCTGGGGACGATGTTTCGAATTTCTCCAAATAGGCTTACCCTGTGAGAGTTCTAACTCAAACCCTACTGATTGGTCCGCTGCCCCCCACCTTGATTCCTATGCCCCCCCTCAGTCCTATGCCTATGCCTATGCCTATGCCTATGCCTATGCCTCCCCCTTAACTCCCATGCCTGTGCCTATGCCTATGCCTATGCCTATGCCTATGCCTGTGCCTATGCCTATGCCTACCTCGAAGGATGTTCTCCTGTCCTAGGTCCGGCCGTACCGAGACCGCTTGGGGCCGTCTGGGGGTCTGAGTTGGCCCAGCACTGGTGCTGGCCATTGAGAAGGGCGTGCAGGGCTCGAGGTTCTAGGGTAGGGCAGGTTTTTCATCTTTTTCGGCCTCCCGGGACCCGTTTTCGAGCCCTGGGACCATGAGAAACGGATCCGGGGTGTAAAATTGCTCCAGGTGGACCCTTCAAGGGTTGAGCGGATTGGGCCTCAGCCCCTGTCCTGGCCGACTCCCCAGGGTCCCAACCAATCAGACCCACGGCCGCCTCCAAGAGACCGCAGTGCCCTTCCCTCGCTTTCGCCTGTTGGGGGCCTCCTGGGGAGGCCCTCGTCGCCGCGGCTGGATTCGCGTCGAGGCTCTGGTCAGAGCGCACCCCGGGAGAGGTCCAGGCAGAGGCGGTAGAGTCGGGGCGCTGAAGAAGGAACTGTGTTCGCTGGGGAGGGGCTCCGTCGAAGAGGGGGGCCCGGAATATTCCCTCGGAGGAGGGTCCGGTCTTTCTAGGGGGGGTGATTCAGAAGGGATTTTTGAGCCAAGACGCTGCAAATGAGGAGGACCGCTCTGGGCTCAGGAAGGGCCTCTCGGGTTTTCGGGCCGGGCCTTAAGTTTTTGTACGGTAGGTTTGCGTCGTGTCGACCAGCGGCGACCCCAGCGCGGGCGTTCAAGGTTGAACGCCGCCGGCGACCCAGAATCGATCGACGTTGAACGATCGGACGTTGCGGCAGCGGCCGATCGTTCAAGGTTGAACGATCCCTGCGGTGTCAAAAACCAACGCTGGGGTCGACGCGACACGAACCTGCCGTATGTCGTGGCGCCTGGACCCGCCGTGGCCAGGAAAGTCCGTGTCGTTCCTGCTCAGTATGCGCTCCCCGTGGTGGCACGGTGGCCGTGGTCTGGCCGTGCCGACGGGGCTCCGGTCTGCGCCGTCGGTCTGCGCTGCGCGTCCTCGGGGGCGTGCAGGGCGTTAGGAGGGCAGGCCCTTTTGCATGTCTCTCTCTCTCTCTCTCTTTTTTTGTTCATCTCTCTCTCTCTCTGTTTCTCTCTTTCTCTTCCTGACTTCCAGTTGCTTTACGCATATGCCGCCAAAAACCACGGTGGCTGCGACAGATTCGGCGACCTGCAGAGGGTGTGGTTACGCCGTGGTGTGGTCTGCGATCGGCACCGTTGAGGCCTGGGGGGCACGACGTTGTCCTCGTCGGGCCTCCTCGGAGCGCGGGAGAACTCCATCGAGGTCCCCGCGCGCCCCCCCGGGTGCCCCCCAGGATGTTCCCCAGGGTCCCGGCCGCAACCACGCCCTCGGCAAGCCACACCCTTTGGAGTCGCCGGCAGATCTTCTTGCTCCTGAGGACTGCATCGCCAGGCACAAGGGGGCGAGCGCTGGGCGGCGCGATGGCACGCAGTGGGGCGGCCCGACGCCAGTGCAGGTCAGGGGCACCGTCGGGGGGGATGGGCTCGGGGAGGGGAGGCTGCGAGTCGGGGCGTGGCAAGCCCTGGTCGCGAGCAGAGGGGCTCAGGCCTAGGGGGGGGGGGGGGAAGTTTTGAGGGTCAAGGTTTTCGGTGATTTTCAAAGGTTCTCGTCGTCTGTCCAGCCTCGGGATGCCTTCCAGAAGCTGCTCCTCGCCGAGAGCGTTCCGGTGTGCCCAGATCGTCCCGAACGGCCGCCAGAAGCCAAGAAGCCAAGGGGCAACCTCAGGGGGGATGAGCTCAGTGGGGGATGCATCGACCCCCAGTCGCCCATAGATAGCCGAGAGGGGCCCGATAGCCAACCCTGCCCAGGCACATGCGGATGCGCTAATTATCGAAGGTCCGTTGGGATGACAGCTGGGGGTGCTAAGGGGATAGGTGGGTTACGAGTGGATGCTAAGGTGGGTTGTATCTTGCGAAAACTAAGTTGTGAGTGGGTAACAAGTGCCCTGATCGGCTATCGGGATCAGCGAGCCCGCTCGAACGGAATGGCCCTGGGGGGCATTCCATGCAAACCCGCTCGCGCGGAAGGGACTTCCCCTGTGGCCCCTAGGGGGTCCCACCTAAAAGTTGGCATTCCAACGGCTATCGGCATCAGCGAACCCGCTCGAACGGAATGACCCTGAGGGGCATTCCATGCGAGCCCGTTCGCGCGGAAGGGACCTCCCCTGTGGCCCCTGGGGGGTCCCACCTAAAAGTTGGAATTCCAACGGCTATCGGAATCAGCGAGCCCGCTCGAACGGAATGACCCTGAGGGGCATTCCATGCGAGCCCGTTCGCGCGGAAGGAGCCTTCCCTGTGGCCCCTAGGGGGTCCCACCTAAAAGTTGGAATTCCAACGGCTGTCGGCATCAGCGAGCCCGCTCGCACGGAATGTCCCTCAGGGGCATTCCATGCGAGCCCGCTCGCGCGGACGGGACTTCCCCTGTGGCCCTTAGGGGGTCCCACCTAAAAGTTGAAATCCCAACGGCTATCGGGACCAGCGAGCCCGCTCGAACGGAATGACCCTGAGGGGCATTCCATGCGAGCCCGTTCGCGCGGAAGGGACCTCCCTTGTGGCCCCTAGGGGGTCCCACCTAAAAGTTGAAATTCCAACGGCTATCGGCATCAGCGAGCCCGCTCGCACGGAATGACCCTGAGGGGCATTCCATGCGAGCCCGCTCGCGCGGAGGAGGATGAGGAGGAGGTTCAGGAGAAGGAGGAGGAGGAGGAGGAGGAGGAGGAGAAGGAGGAGGGGGAGGCGGGGGATTTCAACCACGGCGCCGTCAGGAGGACGCCGTTGAAATGGACGCTGCTCAGGGCGGAGGAGGAGGAGGAGGAGGAGGAGGAGGAGGACGAGGAGGAGGAGACGTGAGGATGAGGAGGATATGGAGGAGGAAAACTAGGGAGGAGGACGAGGAGGAGGAGGAGGAGGTGGAGGAGGAGGAGGGGACCTGGAGGAGGTGTATGAGAAGGAGGAGGAGGAGGAGGAGGAGGAGGAGGAGGAGGAAGGGGGAGGGGGATTTCAACCGCGGTGCCTTCAGGAGGAGATGGTTGAAATGCACGTTTGTCGAGGAGGACGTGGAGGAGGACGAGGAGGAGACGGAAGAGGCGCCGGAGGAGGAGGGGGAAGAGGGGTGGGAGGAGGAGGGGGGGGAAGGAGGAGGAGGAGGAGGAGGGAGGGGGAGGAGGAGGAGGATGGGGGAGGAGTGGGAGGAAGAGGAGGAGGGAGGAGGGGGAGGAGGGGGGGAGGAGGAGCAGGACGAGTGGGGAGGAGGAGGGGGAGGGAGGAGGAGGAGGAGGAGGAGCAGGACGAGTGGGGAGGAGAGAAGGGGAGGGAGGAGGAGGAGGAGGAGGTGGAGGAGGAGCAGCAGCAGCGTCAGCAGGAGCATCATCATTCGGATAGTGTACGTATTCCATACAAAATTAGGTTTTCATGCGGGGTTCATCCGTTGGAGTATTTTTTGGGCCTCCCTGGGCAGAGTTCGAGGGTTTCTCCGAAGGACTTAGGCGACCCGTCCTCCTTCTCTCTCCTCCCCTTCCTCCTCTTCCTCCTTCTCCACCTCCTCCTCCTCTTTCTCCTCCCCCCAAGAACCGTTCTGGCACAATCGCGCCCGCGGGCGCCCTTGGGCCAGGCTCCGCACCTTTGCGTGGTGTTCTTGATTACGGGCTGCTGTCGCCACGCCCAGGGCGTCGTGACCAGCCCCGACCAAGTCGGAGCAAACATTCGGGATGGGGCCGCGCCGCCCTCGCTCTGCTGCGCCGCGGCCCGCTGCTGGGACTGCACTCGCGGTGCCGTTCCTGGAGGACTGGACGCGCTGCTCGGGATGCTCCTCGTGGCGGTGGAACAAGAGCTGGTGTCAGGAGCTCTGGAAATGCAGCTGCGGGAACGCCGTCGAGCCCTTCCGTCGGCACCCGCGGCGCCAAGCCACAGCGGCTCCAGCCAGCCAAGGCCGCGCGGGCTCCCTCACGCAGTGCCCTTGGCGTCGGCAGGGGCCCACTGATGGCGACGCGAGCTCCACGGGCGGAGTGAGCAGGGCCTCGGACCTCACCTCCGTCCTCACGCAGCTGGCGGCCTCCAAAGGCCAGGAGCCCCAGGCGGCCGCAGCCATCGAGCTGGCGCGGAAGCTGGTGGCGCCGCCCCCGCCCGCCGTGGAGGCCGAGCCGCCTGACGAGGTCTTCCGCAAGGCGGCGGGGCTCCACAAGGAGGCGGCCAGGAAGCACCAGGGCGCTGTCGACGCGGTGATCAGGCTGGAGGGCCAGCTCGCAGCGGCGCGGGAAAAGGAGAACGCGATGGCCGTGACGCTGGCGGAGGCGGAGCAATCCAAGCGTGCCGCTGCAGCAGCAGTGGCGCGCCAGGCCGCCGAGGGCGAGCGGCAGCAGGATCTCAGCGAGGACATCTTCCAGCTCACGTGGGACCCAGGTGTCTTCGCGAATGTGAGCGACCTCTCGCCGTCCGAGCGTGGGGAGTTGAAGCAGTTGGAGTCCTCGCTCAACGCTGCCAAAGCCGACCTGGCGAGCAGGGCGAAGGCTATCAAGGATAAGTTCCAGCAGGTGCGCGCTGTGGGGATGTCACGGCGCAAGCGGAAGGGCTCCCACTCGCCCGATCGCCTCAGCGAGACCGACGAGGGCGACACTGTGATGAGCGACGCGGTTCTCGACGGCAAGGCGGTGGTTGTGGGCAGCCCCGCGGGCAGCGCAGTGGAGAAGGGAGCGGCCGCCATCGAGCAGGCCGCCAAGCAGATTAGCGCCGCCGAGCTCGCTGCCGCGAGGGCCGCCAAGGCGGCTGCTGCAGGCGGGGCGGCAGCGGCGCAGCCCAGCGCTGAGGGCGGGGCCCCGACCGCCGAGGCAGGCCTCCCCGTCGCACCCGCAGCCGGGCCAGGAGCCTCAGCGGCTAGCGGGGCCCCCGCGGCCTCAGCTTGACGGGAGGTCGCGGGCCCAGCCCAAGCTGGCTTGGCCCGCGCCAGCACGGGTCTCGAGAGTGGTGTTGGCGAGATCGACTCCAATTTTGTCCGCTGTGGGGGCCATCGAATATGCTTTGCGAATGTCACGGAGATGGGACCACTTGCGTGGGGATTTGTGGAGGAGTCGGTCGAACGGTTCAACACGTTCTGTTTCGTCGAGACACACGTGCAGGGGAGCCGCTTCGAGAAGTGGCGCGTTGCAGCCAAGAAGCTTGATCTCAAGATTTTGGCCAATCATGCGAGGCCCTCCAGGAAGGGCCTCTTGGAAGGATCCACCGTCGCGGGGTGCGAGGGCGGCGAGTGGTTGTTGTGCAAGCGCGGTCAGTTCACGCACACGCTCGAGGGCAGCACGGACGTGGGTCTTGCTGCGCCTGGGGCCACTGCCGCCGACGGCTTCCAGGCCAGCGTGCTGCACCTCAAGGGCAGGGGCGCGCTGGTGGTGGTGACCTTCTACGGCGTGAGTGGCACAGGCTGGAGAGGAAGTAACGTTCGGCGCTTCGCCAAGCTGGGGGGGCTCCTCCAGGCCATCATCGGCGACTTCAACATGCCGAGCGAGACCTTACGAGGTGCAGGCTTCCTACAGCGAGTCGGAGCCCAAGTGGTGCAGGCCAAGGTAGCCACCACATGTGATGCAGGTAAGGAGGGTTCTCACATTGACTATGGATTGTGCTCGGCCTCGTGCGCACCGCTGTTGGCGGGCATGTGGGCCACAGCGGCCGTGCCCTGGAAGACCCACTGCGGCCTCGTGGTGGAGTTTCGGGCAGGCCATGAGGTGCTCCAGGGCCGTCGCCTGGCGCTCGCCAAGAGCTTGCCGCAGGCCTCGCGCCCGAGGAAGGAGAAGACCAGCACGAGGAGAGGTCGGTCGGGAGAGGAAGCAGGCCGCCGCGCCCTCGCCAAGGAGAAGGAGCTGGACTTGCACGAGCAGCTCTACGGCATCCACGCGCAGACCAGAGTGTTGGAGGAGGCGTCCACCGCCACGGGCTCAGCGGGCTCAGACACCTCCGACGAGTGCAGTGAGAGCGACGGGTGGGAGGTCCCCGAGTTCGGCCAGGCCTTCCCCGCAGCCCCCGCAGGCCGCGTTTCGGCGAGGTTGGACGACATGGACGTCGACCCCTTCGAGGACCTCGCCGCAGAGCAGTTCGGGGAGACCGAGGGCGACCCGCCCGAGGGGTCTCCTGTGGGCGCGGCCGCCCTGCCTCCCCGCAGCCGCCGCCAGGAGGGGAGGGTCGACGCCCATCTCCTGCGCCCTCTGGAGGGGCGTGAAGGGGGGAGGACGGTCACTCCCCGCGCCCCACTGTCCCCTGGTCTCGACGGCAGCAGGGAGCAGTACCAGTGGCAGCTGGAAGACGCGGTCTGGATCGACACGGTCGCTGACCCCCACGAGGCCGTCCCCGAGCCTCCAGGGCAGGATGTGACGGCAGCCCTCCTGGTCGGCGGCCCTCAACTGATGCAGCTCAGCGCTCAGTACGCCGAGTGGGCAGCCCATGTAGAGCGCGCCATCTGCCGCCAGCATGGCCA